CGGCCTCTTTAATTGCTTTGATCACCGTCCCCTTGAGATTAGAGGACTTGGCGGTCTCCGCCAATATTGTCGCGAGGCCGTCTCGCGCCTCCTGGGCCTGGACCTCGCTCATGATGCCCGCCGTACCTTCGGGTTCAGCCTCCCCAGCCTTTCCTGGGCGCTTAAGAGCCTCCTTGAAGAAGGCGGCATCCGTCTCTTTCTGGAGGGCGTTCCACTCTGCTGAGCTGGAACGGCCTCTCCCTGCCGCCGCCGGACCGGGGTGGGTCTTCCCGGGGACCCTGGGCCTGCCCCTATGGGCCGTGCTGATCTTTGGTGCCCTTTCGGGCTCCTGAGGTTCGTTCGACGGGGGGGCGGCACGCTTGGCGGCCCTTGACGATCCCTTCTCTCCGGCTGACCCGGAGCGCGAAACCGCGCGTGAATTCCCCTTAGAGAGGGTGGGCTCTCCGTCTGAAGAGGCCGAGAGCATCGTCTCACCCTCAGACTCATTGTCGGAGAGAATCCTCACCTCCACATTGGAGGCCTTCGTGCGATCCAAATTGTGTGCAAAATCATTGTCCGTTCGAGTGCCATGTTCGTGTTCACGAGGGTCGATTTCTGGCCGACCCACGAGGCAGTTTTTGCCCCCCCCAGAGTACGAGGGGCTGCCACCCGCCGAGGCGGATGGGCGGCATTCCCCCTTTCGGGGACCCGCCTGGGGACCATTTTCAAAACGTGCCTGTTCCATGTCGTGTGAGCTTTGAAAGGGGGTGAGCTCCCCACTGGGGCGCCCTAACGGCTGGATACCCTCCAGCCATTCATCCCATCGCCGGGCGCTAGAGCTTAGGATTGGGGTAATTTTTATAGAGGTTTTCTTCCTCGCGGCCCCCCTCTCAGTGAGGACGACCCCCGGTCCCGCTCCATGCGGGATTACGGGTTGGCCGGAGCCGATCTTAAGACCGAACACCGCCCACCGCCTCGGGTGCGAGTTAGATAGCGCCGGACAGAACCTGCGCTATCTTCCTCCCCTCCCAGTGCTGGTTTTGGTCCGCGCCGGCCGAAGCCGGTAACTCCCATATCTGGGAGTCGTTCCCCTATCCGCCACCTGGGGACGCGTCCGATGGCAGACCAGCAACTGCACACGGAGAAGACTGTACTACCTCAGTCAACCGTGACCATGCCCGAAACGTCGGTTTGTTTGAAAAAGCAAATATACGCGATTTAAATCCGGAAAAACAGTTTCATTTCCTATGTGTAACAATCGCGAAAACCTAAGAACTCGATAAACTCTAGTTACTTATTCGTTAGGTACATTCCCTTGAGAAGAATGAGCAAGAAACTCTAGGAGTTGCTCGTTGTAAACAATTTTAAATTATTAATAATTAAATGCCTATATATAAAATTTAAACGCCTCGTGGTCGAACGGTTACCATGTCGCACTGCCACGCAGAGGTTCGTCTCCCGGGCCGGGAGAAATATTTGTATGGCCTACATTTATTTCTCTCGTGAGTTTGGGTGTAATTTGTGGTTGTCTACGTGTTTGTCTACGGCACCCGCGACACAAGGTTTCCCTAGTGCGGGTCTATGTTGATTGTGTGCATTATTATTATTATTATTATAAGTACCAGAACGTCGGCTCCGACAACCTATTTACAGCCTTTGGAGTCGAAACCCTTGGCCCGTGGGCTCCCAGTGCCCTTCATTTGTACCTACAACATTTTTTCCAAAAAATTAAGAGACTGTCTGGGAAACCCAAGGGCTGGCAGCTAACCGGCCCAACTTATTAGCATTGCCATACAAAGAAGGAATGCTGCCAGCACCTTGGACCATGCCGCGGTGACCCAATTTTATTTATATAATTAAATTTTAGTTTCACTTTGTAATATTACAACTCTGTATTTATTTAGGGGCTTTGATCATTATTGAACGTGTCAGCCCCATTGCAATTACATCAAGCAAACAATTAAATCCAAACTGTTATACTATCTAACGAACATGTACCTATATATACAAACTCTTCGCGGCACTACACATTGGCTCCGACAAAACGGATTGAAACCACCCAACATTAAATGTGCGGGGAAACCAACATGGGCAAACAAGAACGCGCTCCATGAATAAATGATGTACATCCTCAGAAATTCCCACACTTCACAAATCGGTGAATTTACTCTCCGCATCAGACACAAAAATTAGTGACAATTTGACCCCAGCATACGATGTTGGTTTTACTATAAAATCTCATAAATGGAAAATGTAAAATGGCCAACCGGAATCTTATTATACAATTCGATTCTTGTTAGCAACAATCAATTTCGAAAACTAATTTTTAACCGAATTCAAATAAAGGAGGTTCTTAATTCGACTGTACGCGATTACTACGACATCTGTGAATCGATTTCGATTATTCCTTTTTCTTTATTCAAGGTATGTTGTCAATCCTTCTACACGGGCGGTCTGTAGACTAACTATACGCAGAAGGCACTCGGTGCCCTGCGCGTTCGATATATTTTAACAGGTTCAGCGTCCTGATTTTGATTCAAATTGGAATCGAACACATCGGGTAGTGTCGAAAACAGATGTATTTCTGAGCGAAAAGATGAACCTGATTCCTACTAAGTACATCTTTCTAATTTGTGAGTTAAATCAACTGTTGTTCCGATTAGAAATATCAAAGCTTCCGATCGGCCAGTTGTGAATCGCAATTATGCGCCTCGACTCGGAAAAGACGCAGTTTTCGATCGGGAGAGGCAACCAAAATCAAGCTGCAGGGTGCTTTTGGGACTACCGTGACTGTGCATTGTCGATGTTTGCTCAAGCGGGAGTAGACGACTTTTTTGCTGTGATGCGGAAAAATACGACGTCACTACTGTCCAGACTGCGTTCTAGTCCTAATAGCATCCTGAAAACGTTTATGGCTAAGCTCGATGCGCTGATGCTTCGTCATTACCCCTCATGGAAGAATGGCATAAGTGGAGTTACGTCCAAAATGTTTACTGCTCCCTTGGATACAGAAAAATATAACCCACATCGTCTCCAATTCTTGGAACTTATTTAACAATGTGTGTGTCTTGTATCTTGTCGATAGAATTACAAGAATTGGAGAGGTAGTGCCTTATATTTTTCTGTATCTAATTGAGCAATAAACATTTTTGACGTTAATCCACCTGTGCAATTCTTCCAGGAGGAATGCTATTTTCATCTAGGTTCTGGTGAGGTGATGGGGTAGTCGGCGACTCGAGCGTAATAATGTATGTTTTTGTGGTTTGTTTATGTATCTACTAATAATAGTCGTAGTTAAAATTGTCTGTATTTAGTAAGAAGATGGATGTCCCATAAATTATTTATTTATTTGTTACCTTACAAGTTTGTTATTGTTTTTTTGTTGGAAATCGTGGTACCTCTGTAGTCCTATTCAAATTTGAAGATAATATTCCACGTCCAAGGGTAGCAAATGACGGGATGAATCGGGAAACCTAATCAATTTCAATAAATCTAGGCAAATTAATACAATTCGTAATCCTTTTGTGGTCTTTTTTTTTTAATGTTATAATTATTTTATTTTGGTTCTGGGCGTTTTGTGCGAATTTATAGAGTAATTTGACTCTTTCTAAAGAAAAATGCAAAATGTTTAAGGCATTGTTTGTTGCAAGTTAATTTTTGAAGTTTCCCTTTGTACTTTTAACGCTTCGGTCCCTTGTAAGGCTCGAAACTCGACACCAGTAGATACTTGGTACGTGGTGTATATCTACACCAGTAGATATTCGCCAGTGTTTCGTAAAGAGTTTATAATTTATTTCCCGATCTTGTTTAGCGAAAATTACTGAATAATTCAAATATGTAACTGCCTATTCATAATGTTCCATAAAACAATTACCTACAGAGTTCAAACGGCTGCTTGCTGCGTGTAAGTATACAATTCATGGGAATTTGTATAAATTTGTTCCCGCGCTCGCGCTTTGTGTAAGTTCACGTAGTGGGTATGCAGTTATTTTAGAAGAGGCTTTATAAATTGCACACACACCATTGCGCTCCCATTATGGACCTAATTTTTGTAACGAAATTGTACGTAGGATAATGAATTTTATGTCAATTTTGTAACGTAGTACAATCTAGATACAATATGGTAGCTGCGGGAATTTCCGATATTGCTTGCGACCTGTTTTTTTGTCTTTTATTTAGTTACACAATTCGATGTTTTTCGAGAATGGCGGCCTATCTAAAAAGCATATAATTTTTTTTATGCCCAGTGACGGGACGAACAAGACGTGGACCTGGTGGTAAGCGACAGGCCAGTCCATAACAATTGCAGTGCCACTCAGAACTTTAATCACAAAGATCTGAGGGGCACTGCCACTGCGCCCGTCACCGAGACACAAATTGAAAGTCCCATGTGCCTTCAATTTCACCGGAACATAGTAATGCTCACATTAGGGTTTGGCGTCAGAAATAGGTGAGGTGGCAGTACTTCCCTGGACAAATTCTTTCACAAGGAGGTCTATTGTTACTAATTCACCAAGAAGGCGGTTTAAAAAAAATATCTGAGGCTTATCTGCCGCGCAAAATTGATAAATCGTAGACCATCCCAATGTTGATAAGCGGTTCATTTAACCAATGAAAAGCTCGGTGTCCCAGTTCACAATAAACTTTAGCGTTAGGTTTCTGAATAAGTTTCAGTAATAGGTCAAAAAAGGTACTACTATTTTGAAATGGGACACTATTCTTGAAAGGCAGTGATTTGACATTAAGTCCCTTATGTTATCCATTTCGCAGCAATGTAAATTGAGCCGAAAGATTCATTTAAGTTTAGGCCATTGGTGGCCACGCTGTGAACAGTCTTCGGCGTGTACGTGCCACTGAACATTTACATAATTATGTACGTAACTTAGAAATTAAAGTATGTACATGCCGCCACAGGGTTTCGAACCATTCATCGATCACAGTGGAGAAGCAACCGTTTTCCCACTGAGCTGCCACACTAACAATAAATTAAAACAAAATAATTATTATTGAGGTATTTGCCTTTATTTTCAAGAGGAGGCGATTTACTATTACTGATAGACTTACTTTAAATAATATTTATATTTTTACATGGAAATTTTCATCACATTAAACAATTAACATATCCTAGGCCATTTAAATCAGTAATCAATTCAGTATCAACAATGAGTAATATGCCATTTCGAAAAAATACAACCATTCTGTATTATTAATCTATTTTTAATTCTTCATTGACACATGTCGTCCGCACGAGGAACGTTTTTTAAAAAAAAGTCTTATAAATAATATACAAAATAATACAAACATTAGTTCGCTTCTCGAAGAAAAGAAAAATGAGATTTAACATTATCGTAACATTAAATTCCTTTCGGGAAAATTCGTGATTATTTTACATTTACAAAGTGAGTCCAAATCGATTTTACAGAAAATAGATGTACATTAAAAGTGACTACACAACCGGTGATTGCTTATAGAGTGTTCGGCTCAACACTTCTCGTCGGCGAGGAGGGGGTCGAGCGAGAAGCCGAGGTCGAACACGTTGGGCGGGGCGCGCTTGGCGTGCTTCATGGCGCCCGCGGGCTGGCCCAGTTGGCCTAGCTGACTCAACTGACCCAGCTGACCCAGTTGGCCCTTGCGCTCGTGCGCCACGTGTCCGTTAAGCGCGTGCCGCACGTCTCCTGCGAACAAGTCGCTCAGCGTCTGCTGAACCTCCTTCCCGCTCCCCGAAGCACTACACGTCACTATTAGTTTGCGCACTTCAGGCTTATTAGTTTTACTAGCGTTCATATGCACTGTTTTGGACAACGACAGGGCGTTTTGGCCGTAGTAATAATTGTTCGTACCGCCCGTCGATTTACACTGCGACCGCGATAAAGAGGATTTTATATTGCTTCGGACGGTCGCGAATTTTTTTCCTAGAGTGATGGCGCCGCCTGCGTGCGACGCGTTGAACGTGCAAAGCGCAAGCGGGCGCGGACACGCTGAATACCAACACACATCGCCGGGTACAAGTAGCGGAGGACCCTCATCTAGTTTGTCGTCTAGCCGCGCCAGGGGCGCGTTTTCTACTGGAGATGCTATGCTGAGTATGGGCACGTCAGGCTGAATATCAGCGTCGTCTGGTAAAAGGAGGTCAGTTGGCAGTGTTTGAGTGAGAAACGACGTGATGCTCGATGTGTCAGGCAGCATTGCGTTGGGGTCCTCCACGCTGAGGAGGCTCGCGTAGATATCGTTGACCTGCTGCTCGGCAGTGAGGCCATTGTACCCGAGGTCCAGTTGGGAATTGACTAGGAGCGGTGGGATGTTGAGCGGGACGGCGGCGGCAGGTGCGGGCGCGGACGATGCGACCGGCGCTTGCACCGCTACGGGTACAGGCGCGCTGGCTGCATTGGCGTTGGCGTCGCGTGATGCTCGATGTTCCGCCAGTAAAGTGTCAAAAGGTTTCGAGCGCCCTTCCACCGTTCTCCTAAGCGACAAAGCGTGCGCCTTGCAGGTCAGCGACCTCGTACATGGCTTAGGGTTCTCGGCCGTAGCTACCCCACAGTGTTTGTTCGGATCGTATTCTCGTAAATTAAATTTCGTTTTACTCGTTTTCGACCTCGATTGTGATTTCGACGTAACAGAAGCGGTTTGGACACTCGGCGTCACTGGTTTTAAAGCTTGTTGATTGATGTTGACTACATTAGTCTCTACTACAGATGACACCATTGGCGACACATTCGGCCCGAATTGTAAACTTGATAAGTCAGGGTCACTTAATGCGTAAGTCGGTAATGATGTATCTATGGATGTGTACATATCTTGCGACTGAGTATCGGTGGTTTGTGAAAAGTTAATGTCTTGCATATTGCCTATATCTCTGATAATGTTTTTCCAGTCTGTTGGGTTTGTTAAATCGTCTGCTCTTTGAATACCTTCTGAGTTCATAATTTCAAAGATGTCGTCTGTAATGTTTTCACCAAGGGGCAAATCCTCTGTGTCCTGTATACTGACAACTGGTAGTTCTCCGCTCTCCACACAGACCTGCACCTCACCCGTGACCGAGGCAGAAGTGCTGGCTTCATCCAGGTACAATTCTGGCTGTGGTAACACTATCCTCGAAAGGGGAGCTGTGGCAGTGTGTACTGGTGAAGTCTCCATTTTTACTGGTAGCAAATCTATGGGAAGAGGTGCGGGTGGAATATCTTTTTTATGCCGACTCCGGTTGGCAACTTTGAGCTTGACGGTGGGCGCTGCGGGCGGCGGAAGTATCGGTTCAGAGTCCGTATGGTACTCTAACAAATGTCTGTATGCTGCACTGCACTTTACTACTACACCACACATGTGACACACGGCTGCATTTAAATTGTCCATTTGGGGGAACAGTCCATGGAGGCTCATGCTCTCGTACTTAAGGCGGTTGACTCCCGCGCGGCGGTACCTTGCGGGTCCCGGCGCTTTGTAGGGGTGGGAATCGTGGGCTCGCCGGGCGGAGACGCCGACTTTAGCCTCCGCCGGCGTCGCGAACGTCGCCTCATCGTCCCGCCGTGGTGACAGGTGACCTATCTCACTGACCCATAGGTCCCAAGGTTTCTCATTGCACTTTACAGGACTCACTATCTTCACTGTAAACGGGAACTCGCCTGACATATTTCCGCTTTTACCGACCCTCCGAGCAGTAAACTCATGCGCTTTCTCAGGGGAGTCCAGTCAGCGCCATCGCAGCCTCGTCCTGTTAGGTTATTATCCCATTCTGGGCGCCGTTCGTCGCCCGTCGAACGTGCTTCACGATCACATCGTAGACAGGTAGTTCACTACATTATGTGCACTTGCTCCACTAAAATGACTTATGATTGTTTTAGCTTTTATATTTACAGGGACAGATGATCTTTCTCACTGACAGCTGATTATGCAGATTGTAAGTTTTTCTTGACCACGATACACTTCCATCTGTCGACAGTCGCTTGCACTGCACTTCTCAGCCTCCGATTGATAGAAACTCGTATTTATTCAAGCTTATTTTAATGATATTGCATTGATTAAACACTTGTAAAATGTCCAAAACTGTTTGGTTGTAATTTTAATTTACTATAGAAAGCATCAACACTTTTTTGGAGTATTTGTAAAGACCGAAAGTGCTCTATGGCCATTCATTGCGCGAAGTGACGTTGACAGCCAGAGAAGGTTAAGCAGAGACAATAATTTTTTTTTTCTTTCAATTGTTTTTTTCTTCAAGTCTTATTTCCTCTTTTTAGGGCATCTGACGCGAAAATGTCACTGTCAGATGATCATGTCAAACAAAAATTTACACAAAATTTGACAAAAATAAATGACACAGTCTGGTATCAAAAAATATACTTTACAAATTTATTTTCACATAATGCTTTATCGTAAAAAGCATTAACGATTTGTTTGGTCCGACTAGGCGACTATGTCGGACGCATTTCGCTCAAAAAATCAAGTGTTGGCCTATTCATGATTCTACAGACCTTGTTTAGAGCAGTCGCCTTTGGCATCCCCATCGGCGTAACGTTCCTTGACACCATCGGATATGTGGCTAGAGTCGAAGGGATTTCTATGCAGCCTTGTCTAAATCCGGAGTCGAATAATACCGATTATGTGTTTCTCTCGAGATGGGCAGTGAGAGACTACAAAGTTGAAAGGGGTGATGTTATATCACTTGTATCCCCTAAAGACCCAAATCAGAAGATAATCAAGCGTGTCGTGGCTCTACAAGGCGACGTTGTGAGCACTATAGGATACAAGAATCAGTATGTGAAGATTCCAGAAGGACATTGTTGGGTGGAAGGTGATCACACTGGTCATACTTTAGACAGTAACACGTTTGGACCCATTTCTTTAGGTTTAGTAAATGCTAGAGCAGTCTGCATCGTCTGGCCGCCTAGTCGATGGCAGAGTCTTGATGCAAAATTGCCTGATAAACGGAGACCTATTAGTGCTACAATGTAGTACAAATTTTAAGAGGCAAGATGTAAAAATATGCAGTACAATTCCTAGAGGCACACTTTTATAATATATTGTATAGCTTAGAGATGATAAGTCTAAATATGTGTTGAACTATTAAATCTGATTAAGTGTTTATTTATCTATAGCAATAGGTAGTAAAATTTTAGCAATAAATAGTATAAATAATAACTACCTTGAGTAGCAACCTTTTCTGTATATACTACAATATAGATGCCAAATTGGATCTCTTGCCTAGTCTGTTCTGTTCATGTACTTTTTCTTTCTAGCTATTTCTACAATATTCCTTTTTTGTATTGAACAGTAAGTGCTATTTAAAAGGTCGCTGCAAAAAAACTGCAATATTACTTCAATTGTTACATACAAATTATAATTTTAATGATTTGTATGCAACTTAGGGAGTTCTCAACTTGCTATGTAGTTGACAGGTGAAAAATAAAGGCATTAAACAAAATTTTTTCACGTTGTTTCAAATTATTCTGGACTATAACTTATCCTGACTATTCTAAGCTTTAGGAAATGAAACTATTTTTCCAGATTTAAATCGCGTATATTGTTATTATATACGCGATTTAAATCCGGAAAAATAGTTTCATTTCCTATGTGTAACAATCGCGAAAACCTAAGAACTCGATATATTCTAAGCTTTCCTGACTTCCCAGATAGCATGGAGTATAATGACAAAACATATTTTTATACATATTTATTAGATAACATAGATAACAATTGTAATGAATAGATGATAGACACAAAATTAATAAATAATCTAATCAATAATACTTTTCAGTCCATGACTGTTCAAAATTCTAACAATGTTTTCATACGAAATACCTCTACGTATGACCTTATAATGTCCCTGTTTGGACAAATCTATGACGGTTGATCCAGTTCTGTTTTCGTCTAAACCATGACTCAGGAGCCCACCGTCAAACACTGCACCTAATTGTCCGAATAGGTGCTGGAACTCCGTGATAGATAAAGTAGATGGTTCATTACTAAAGTTGGCACTAGTTAATGCAACGGGCATATCAAAAATTTTTGTCACTTGGTTCATAAAACTGTGTTTGGGAATACGTATGCCAATTTTTGTTGTCATCGGATTTAACATTGGATTGTCCAAGTATTTTGTTCTTTCTAGAACTACTGTAACAGGTCCAGGTAGCAAACCACTGAGTAGACTATCATTCAAATGCTCTGCTTCTCCCCATTTACGTACATCATTTATGTATGTAACACATATTGCTACAGGTTTGGCCGAATCTCTTCCCTTTATTGCATAAAGTTTTTTTATTGCTTCAGGACAATTGGCGCTACATGCCAATCCATATATTGTATCTGTAGGAACAGCAATAACTTGTCCGGAACCTAAAAACTCTGCAGCCTTAGAGTAAGAAGTTTCTTCAGAGCATAGGTATACCGGTGCCATCTTTTTGATCTTCATTTTTGGTGATGTACTTTTATATCTCACTATGTAACGGAAACTTGAGTTTCTTAATAAGTTCATACTCTATACAATTAATAAATGTACAAAGAACTTTGAAACTAATTAATCACGCCAATTATGAGCACATTTGTGGTTGCAGCAACGGTAGAAAGTAGTCATCGGTTCATCAGCAGACCTAGTCTGTAGTTGCATGAAAAATGCCCTACCGTTACCACATTTAGGGCATACCGCGTCAGTTGAGTCTACGTTCTCCCAAGCGGCAGCACCACCCATAATATAATCTAGTTCCTGCAAAATAGAGCCATATTTGAACATAATGCACTTATAGTTAAAAACTGATGCAATTTTGAACACGATTGTACTGACCTTTAATTTTGGGTATGTGCGCGAAGTCACCTTACATGTAATACTGTAGATATAAGGACACGTGTTGCAGGCGTATCTGAGGCCAGATTCGGGAGCCTCTTCTACCATAAGTAAGTTCGCACACGTTGGGCAAAATAACATAATTTTCCACCAACTTTTCTGCTATAATGCTTCTTCAAATAATTACTGGAAATGCATTGTTTCTTATTTTAAGACAATTAGGAATTACTAATATTGCAAGCCACAATGTTGTTTATCTTGTGAAGGCAAGGATAGGTACTGTTTCCAGTTTTCTTCGAAACAAAATATTGTTAATTTTAAGGTTATATTCCATCTCACTCGGACGTGACCGAATGATAAAATGAAAGACCGAATTGTATGAGTAGAATGAACTAAACAACTTAAAAAAAAACTAAATCGATCGATTTAATTTGACAGCTGTGATTTCTTTTGTTAAATCACTCTTATCTTCCCTCTCTACTTACTGCATTTTTGTGTCATGTCGGCTGCAGAACGGTCGTGTCGTTAATTTTCTCTTTTTGGGTGTGTTTATTGCGTGTTTTATTAGATAGAACCACTGAATTTTGTGTTAAAGCGGTAATATAAAACCGCTGAACGTTAAGCTTGTTAATTGTATCAGTGTTAACGATGTTACGGCAGTTATTGGATACATTTTGGAGAGAAGATGTGTGGTTACCGCCGAACACAACTTGGGAGGATATTGCTCCAGGACCTGATAAGGCTGTGGTGTATACGGACTACAGGCATTTGCTAGTGCCTTTACCTTTGGCGTTCGTGATAATATTCTTGCGGCAGATGTTGGAAAAGTGAGTATTCACCGTGAACGTTCGGCACACTGCTAATAAACTCGACGCAAAGTAATTTAGGTGATACGCTTAATGATTAAATGAATTTATCTATAGACTAGTTGTAACGCTTCAACTAAAGTGATTTTACGGTTGTAGCTAAGTCTGTAACCAGGAAAAAATAGTTTGCAAAAGTTATTTATATAAATTTAATTATGATATGATTTCCTTCTAAAGTTCAGGAAAACGACTTGCAATTGTATTTTAAACGCATAAAACATATCATTAAAGCCAGTAATAACCGAAAATTCACGTTACAATTCCTATCCTTGAGTAGGAGTACATGCAACATTATGAAAAGCATTTTGAAGTGATAACCAAGGCTTGAAGTAGAGTGAAACAATTAGAAGTAATGGAAATGAATTAGCAGGTTTGTGTTTACACATAGACTTTCTTATGCTCGTATTTAAACATTGTAAAGTACTGCTTGGTGTATTCAAATAGTTAAAAGTATTTTTGTAAATATATAAAACACTATTTTTATAAAAATTATCACTAGTACTTAGAAAAATTTTGTATCTGTATATATGCATATAATATAATTTGCATATTAAATAGTATTTTTTATAATATTGTCTGTGAAAAGTATTTGAATACAAACTAAATGTGAGGCTGTCCTAAACAACACCTTAACTATTTTTAATTTTTAAGAAATAATAAGACTACTAACACACAGGAAAGTGTTCTATAATTAAAATTTATATTATTTACCTGGTTTGTTTTTTTTAGTCTGTAAAATAATATATTATTAATAACAATAATTTTGTTATCAAAACATTTAATTTGTGATTTAAATTGAACTAGGTGTCATTTACAAGAAAGCAACTATTTATAAAACTTTATCATATAGTATGTTCAGTAAAATATCTAATAAGGTACATATCTATTTTTATTGATTAATTTTATAATTGATATATCCAATAAAAATAAGAATACAATAGAATAATTTATTTTATGTACAGTGTTAATGGATATAATATGAACAATATTAGTTAATCTGTCACAAATCCATGTACTATCAAAACACATGGTTTTCCTAGTGATTTAGGTAGCATCCCAAAGTCACATGGTGTCGCTAACACGCCTCAGTGTTTTCATCCACGATTTTGGAAAAAAATTATAAAAATAAAAAATAATGGTACCAAAGTCATTATGGACACTTTGGATGTTATAGGACGCGTAACAGGTTAACACATCAAATGTTAAAAATCCAAAATTATAGCAACTGTTACACCTAGTAAACATTGTAGAAACTCGAATCCATCAGTATACAAACATTTAGTCAAAGTACAAATGTTTAGAAGTGTGTTCCACCCATCTCTGTGACGGGTGGGACACACTTCTAAATCTTAATATCTACATTCCTATTTACATGTACAATGCCCAACCAAGCCAAAATAATGACCATTAGCATAATTGTTACTTTTACAGAAGCACATGCCAACAGATTGCATATTTGTTGGTTAAAATAAAAATATATATGTTTCATTGTGATGGGTGGGATTTGAAACCAGTATTTATTGAAACTTTAATAACTCTTCACTATATATATATTATATATATATATATATATATATATATATATATATATATATACTTCCATGCAATCACTTATTACTGTTTTAAAATTTCGTAAATTGTATTTTCTTTGATAGTAATAAATTATTTAGGAAGGCGCACATATACTATACATAATAGGAAAAAATGCTTCACCATAGACGATTGCACTATGGCTGCGTTAATGAAGAGAAAAAATAGAATAATTGTACAATATCCGAAAAATCTTATTTATTTCTAATGATTTGATTTATTGGGCGTATTCTAGTCATATAATTAAAACCAAATTCTGTAATTTATATTTTTGAACCGTGGTGTCATTTTCGCTGGAATGACCCAGTTACCGCTTGCGCCGTCTCGAAACAATGTAATCGTCAAGTGATGAAGACATTTTGGCATGTTATTTTTATCTCTAAATACTCTGCTAGTCATTAATTGTACAATACTGGATAATTTTCAATTTCCAGTATTAAATAAATGTGTCTAAACCGTGTCAATCAGAAGCGCACATTGAAATATAGACGGTCGTTAAGCTTTCAGTGCTGCGTACCTATACCGTATCGCTAGCACACAGACAACTCAGGAAACGGCTTAATTATTACTAATTACAACTAGAACCAATTTACAAAAGTTAAATTCCTCAAATTGGTCCAACTGGGGAATCGAAACCAGGGCCTCCCCATCCAGCACTATCAGCACTCACAGCGCAAATCTATTGGGCCGCCGAGGTCGACATTCGAAGATTATGTACTTCAATGTAGAAGACAAATGCCGCAATTTCGTTCTAAATGTTATGTACATTAAAAATATTAAGTCCTACAAGTGAGGTGAAAAATGATTACCTCGATCCTGTAGGGTTGGCACGACTGGGCGCGACTTTCGCGAGAGCGACATAAAGCGATACTGCTATTTAGAGATGGGAAAAACTGCTTATTTTTTAAACGTTTAAACGTTATGCTTTTTTAGAATAAGCGTGCTTTTTAAACGCTTTTTAGTTTGAAGCTAACAAAATCGTTTAGAAAACGTTTAAGCGCATAGACTTTCCCGTTAAAAAAGCTTGCAACGTTGTGTTGATAGCGAAAAGCAAAAGTAGACCACTAAAGTTTTTAAGATAAGTAAGTTTTTTTTGTAAAAAACAAGTTATATTTTTATTTATGACATAACATTTTTATATTAACATTTTGTTCATTGGCGTTTAAAAGCGTTCAAAAACATAAGTTGTTTAACTTTGTAGTTAACCGTTGAAATGTAAAAAACTGCTTATTTTTTTAACGTTAAAACGTCCGTTTAAAAAGCGTGCTTGTAAAAGCGCTTTTCACACGCTTTTTAGTTTGACGCTTAAAAAGTCGTTTAGGAAAACGTTTAAGCGCATAGACCAACGCTTACGCTTAAAATGAAAAGCGTGTTTAAGCGCTTATTTTAAAAAACTGACTTTTTTAAGTGCTTTTCGTTTAAACGCCTACCTCTACTGCTATTCTCGCATAGAGATCTCGAGCTTTATGCTTTATGTCGCACTCGCGCAAGTTGCGCCCGGTCGCGTTAGCCCTACTGGTATACAGTCAGCTCCAAAATTATCTAAAAGTAATCTATTTGTGAATTTTAAACTGGTAAACAATTATCAGCATTTAATAAAAATCAAGGCTAAGCCTTAGCAACCTAAGATTGAATCGGAAATTGAAAAGTGCACCTTGAATTTATTGCCGTGATATTGACTTTTGTCAAACACGTACGGTTTTCTAAATATTTCTGGATTTCTTTTTAATAGGTTTGATTATTCAAGATAATTTTGAAGCTGACTGAAAATACTATATTACAAGATGACACAAATCGTAATGCATAAAATTGTATTTAAAATGCAACAATTTTTTGTAGCTATTTTGTTTGTTTTTTTTCATCAATGTAAATTCACTAATAACATATTTTTTTTCTTTTTAAGATACTGGTTTGCACCATTCGGCAAGTCATTAGGAATTAAACACACTAGACCAAAGAGAGCTCCCAATAACCCAAAATTGGAGGCAGCATATCTAGCGTCACCAAAAATTAAACACAAGCAGGTGAGTGACAATTTAAAATTTTTTATTTCTTTTCAAATTGTCAAACTAATCTGTATGCACCTTATGCGTAATAATATTTCGGCTTCTTTAAAGGGTCTTTTGACACCCGGTATTTACAATGTAGTGTACTGACAATTTAGCCATTTTTTATTCATTTATCCTTCCTGTTATAAAAAGAAATTTCTTTATTTAGGTGACCCATTAAATAATTTAACATTTTATTACATTTCCATTTAATTTATTAATAGAAAATTTTATTTTAATGTAAGAATTAAGAACTAATTTATATTTTAATAAGTGAGTTTTCCCTTTAAAAAATAGCACGAAGCGCATTTTATTGTCCTCACAATAATATTAGATTATATTTTGGTATATAATCTGCATATGGTGCCCAATCTGAAGTACGTTACATGACGTAGATATCAAAACACCGACACTGACACGTCTGTCAGGCCTATGAACTCCCAGAAATATGCCCAAATCGTTACACAATGGGCGCCTGAAGAGTCTCGATCATGTGAAGTTGGCCACTCCACTTTGTCTAAGGGCACTTACGAAACACTAACTATAGCGAACGAAAGATGTTTACGACTGGCTTTCTGAAGTTGACCACTTTAAAACTTTATTTTTAAACTCTTCCCTGATTGTTCTTCCGTCAAATGTTTTGCTAACGACCTGTATGAGTCATTTCCGGGTCCTATTAAGTGGGTTTCCAGTGCCAATGTCACCACCATCAAAGGACATCAAAACTATCGAAACTGGAAATATCTTTGGCCTTTGCTCCGATTGTAATTAGTGGTAATAGTAATACTGCCCTCAATGTTATAAGTTATAACTAAACGCATTTGCATTTTTCGGTAGTTTTATTTTAAATTGAAAACCACCGTGAGACTAGGTGAGGACCAGAAGGTACTCATGAGTAGTATCGGGTAAAAAGTCTCGTACTATAAAAGTATCGATACCTTAAGGTATTAATTATATAAACATTTATAAAACGAAAACGGAAAATGTCCATTGAAATGTTTATAATTATTTTTCTTCATTCTCATTTTTATGAAGAGGCAAAGGGTGTCATACTCAAGGTAATATAGACATGCATTTTGAAGGTTTACCATTAAAAAAGTTACTAGATGGCTTGCATAGGATTACGATACTTATCAAAAAGTACTAATACCCGAAAAGTATCGAATAGTAGATATCAAAAGGAAAAGTACTCGATATCAAAAAGTATCGATACTTTTTCGTGTCCCTTCGTGAGCCTCAGATATATTTTATACACTCGTATGACTCACGTGTTTAAGTCGAATCTTCGTGGTTCTTAATCATGAGATTCCGCGGCGGCGACTCGACTGAAACTGGTAGCATTCGAAATATGGGCGCATAAAGTTTAATTGTCACCTAAATAAAAGACAATTACGTTGAATTTGCTGAAACTAAGTAAGATATATAAAAAAAAACGATAAGAGGCGGTTGTAGATCACGATTCGCTGATCCCGGATTGTTAATAACTAAATTTCGCTAGGTGTTCCACATTTATAGACCCATGTATAGACCCATGCATATAGCACAAGGAGCGACATACAGTTGTTAAAACCACCAAATATTAATCAATTACTTTTTTCGATTTCCGGATGAAAGAACCTCCTCTCTTTATTCTATTCATGAAGATAAATAACTGTACGTGGATAATGTTGTCAAAAATGGCACCTTTTCGTCTTGTTTAAGCGTCCAGCGATTTTTTTAAATAAAAGGAATTAAAATAATCAAATGTGAATATATCGAGTTTTTAGGTTTTGGCGATTGTTACACATAGGAAATGAAACTATTTTTCCGGATTTAAATCGCGTATATTTGCGTTTTCAAACAAACCGACGTTTCGGGCCCTTTACAGGTCCCATGGTCACGGTTGACTGAGGTGGTACAGTCTTCAACCAGTTATGTCTAATATTAATGCAAACCCTATTTTTTCACTATAGTTATTAATTAAATACCTTATTTTTAATTTTACAAAGAAAACATTCCAATTTACGCTACATTAAGTTTTACAAATTATTTTATTGAATGAATTTTTATTAAGTTTAATTTATTATTAATGATTAATAGAAATTAGAATAAACTAAAACATATTAATTAGTACTGCAGTCTTATGTCTGTTTGGGATTTTTCATTAGAGGAAATACTGGATCCCAAACTAGTGGTACGGAGAAACCATCTTCCCTGTTGAAATTAGGATGTTTTTTAATTTCAATGGCCTCTCGCAGCATCCTGGGTAGATAACGGACTTCTTTTGTAAGGACCTGGGGTTTGTCAAACTTCATTGAATGTGTAGGTTTATCCATGACATGCTCGCAGGCTGCAGACTTTTTACGCGACGGTGTTTGACATCAGCTATATGTTCTTTGACGCGGGTACAAATACTTCGCTTTGTTTGTCCAATATAAGAATGTGAATGTGAATATTTTCCTTTTTAAATACATTATTTCCGCTAGCGGTTCGAATATATGAACATCTGTTATACTATGTTTTTGAATTTAATTAAAATATTTTTACACCACGATCACACCAATTTTCGTGCAAACTAAAATGTCCTAAAATTCACTTCGTAAATGAAATTTTAAATATTTTTTTTCTTGAATTCTACTAGTAAATGTCGCCGTTCCGTCATTGTGACCGTCAATATGCGGTATCTAAAGCACACCCCGGACACTCCATACAACGGTCGAAAATTATTTACCTACTGCTACTATATACAGCAAGGCGCTATCTGCTCACGCGCAGTGGCAGGGTTACCCATCACTTGCTCGTACTATTTATTACGTTACGTGGTCAGAGTGGCAACAGCGAAAATTCTAACGCTAAACTGTTGTCTATAATTCTATTATAGAATCATAATAATTACACATTTCATTACGTAGGTATAAATATCGATACAATATTATCTTTTTCATTAATTCACTAACTAGAATAATATTGAAGATTTATTTAAAAATATATTAAAAGCATT